ACTAAAAGATAGGCTATGAGCATTCTTTAAGGAAAGGAGATCTTGCTCCAGACCAATAGCGGTACATCAGAATTATAATGTTTCCACCTCTCGCTGCGTTTTACTGGGACACTGAACACTGCAGAGTACTGGAAGGCGCACACACAGAGGATTGTCTTCACTTGGGTTTTTCTACAGTGCTCATCACTGTAGGATATGAGTGTTGAACAAGATGCCTAGATCGGCATGCTGACCTTCAAGAGGATCCTACTCTTTGACCACTTCCTACAGCCTGGTTAAGCTCGGTTAATACAAACACTTGTTATCACAGGAAACTTTTGCAAAGAGGCCTTGCTGCATGCTCAGAAAAAAAAACAAAATCAGCCAGCCCCTCGGACCCAATCTACTCTTCTCTGGTAGCTGGTTCCACCAGTTTCCTCAATGAATGGAAAATGCATCCACCAACACTGCATCTTAATCCCTTGATTCTACTGAGGCTACAGAGAAATTAAGATGCAAATTCAATTAATTTTGGGTGATGCACCTAATCCTTCTGTGCAAATAAGTCACTAAATTGGCCATGAACACCTATCCACATCCATGATTCATGGTAGTGGAAAGCCCTTGCCGCCAACTTACACGTTTAAACAAGAATGCTAGCTTGATGTTTTGAAGTCACCATATCTTTCCTCCTGGGAACAGCAAGCAGCCAGTGTCAATATTTTATCCCACAAACCAGTACACAGAGCATCAACTGCTGAAATCCCTCTCCCAAGGAGTCCCCTGTACAAGCACTCATTACTAAGCCAATAAGCTGCTGGTACAACATTGAGATAAATACAGCTTTTCAGGGTCTGCACAGCCTGACTGTCAGGGGATCCACTCTTTCACCATGCTGTAAATCAGGATATACAGCCACAGACACTGCCACCAGTTCCCATTAGGTGAGCAATTTAGCCTTACTGTGCCTTTGAGTTCTTTAAGGCCTGGTTTACGCTTAGAACTTGGGGCAGTTCATAACATTCAGAGCTATTACTTTATGCTGTCTGCAGACTCAAGTACACTCATTTCACATTCTGATTCTTTGCAACCAAAGAGAGGAAACTTTTTAAAATGAAATCTGGGGACAATCATGCAATACATTTCTACAAGAAACATTCAGCCAGCTGAGGACAATTCATCATACCAGACCAGACCAGAGCATATAAAATCATATCAGTGTTTCACTTCAAATCTCACCTCATTTAAAGCACCGTCATTTGAACTTACTCCCACACAGGACATGCAACACCGCAGAACACAAGTCTCAACACACCCGAAAACTTAAGATCGCTCTACCATGAAGCCACACCCACACTGGCTCAGCCTCTAGCTGAAGTATATTTTTATCCTTCTATTCGAGGGCTGCTTACGTAAGCTGCCCCCAGATGGCAAATTCTAATCACAGCTTCCGAGATGAGCAACCATTCTGAGAGACAGAAAGCTACCCATGCTAGATCAGACTACTGGTCCATCAAGTCCAGAATACGACTACTAGTAAGGCAGCCACAACCTGATGCTTCGGAAGGCAAAAAAGACAACACTATAAAGCACCTTGCTGACTGTACAATGCAGAAGGAGCTGAATTATGGGTCCCAGCTTCTGTGAGAAGATTTCCAAGGCAGGTCTGTATCTCAAGAATGAAACAAGGGAGCCACTACCGTATCTGGATGACCACCTATCAAGTTATGCACCAAAATAATCCCAATAAATTAAGCCTGTTTACACAGAAAGGTGACACTAATATTAAGAGCTTTCAAAGAATTTAATATTTCTCTTTACAAAACAAACCTTTCCCCACATAAAACTAAGAGAAAAGCTAAAATTCAATCAACCCAGGCACGATTATTTTTTTTTTTACTAAACATGTGAATAAGCAGCATGTTAATGCAATTAAGACCACCACTGTGGTATTTGTAGCCATGACTACTGAGACACAGGCCTGAAGGCTCTGCCTTGAGGAAAAAATGTGAGTCAAGTTACTGTTTAAATCACTCTCATCACTATGTACACAAGCCACGTAATAGAAGGTTGATTCCTAAATAATGAAAAATATGAAAGACACGTATTCCAAAGGATAAGTGTGTACATGTATCAGAACCAAGAGTTCAAGAACCCAAATGCACACCTAAACAAGGTGTATGATCTCATCTAAACTCATAAATTAAGCACAAGCATAAGCAGCTCCATTGTTGCAGGGGCCTCAGTGAACTATAGCACTATGAGTTAGAGTACCAGACACACAACAGGGCAAAGAGAGGTTGGGCTTTGCTTTCATTCAACTGTTGCTTTCTTTGTTTTCGTTTACCAGCACCTTACTTTTTCCTTCCCCACTGGCCACTTCCCTCTTATTTTTATAAATTCTTCTTACTCAGCTCCTGTTAGTCCAAGGAATAAGAGTGAACAGAGTTAAGTTTCTTTGGACAAAAAGGGAGTTAAGTGTCTGTTAATGACATAGTATTAGGGCTGTCGATTAATTGCAATTAACTCACGCAATTAACTCAAAATTAATCACAGCTTTAATCACATTGTTACAGAACAGAATACCAATTGAAATTTATAAAATATTTTTGGATGTTTATTTTTTCAAATATATCTATTTCAATTACAACACGGAATACAAAGTGTACACTGCTTACTTTACATTATTTTTATTACAAATATCTGCACTATAAAAATGATTGATAAAAACAGTATTTTTCAATTCACCTTATACAAATACTGTAGTGCAATCTCTATCATGAAAGTGCAACTTACAAATGTAGATTTTTTGTTTTACATAACTGCACTCAAAAACAATGCAAAATTTTCGAGCCTACAAGTCCACTCAGTCCTACTTCTCATTCAGCCAATCACTGAGAAAAACAAGTTGGTTTACATTTACGGGAGATAATGCTGCCCACTTCTTAATTACAATGTCACTAGAAACTGAGAATAAGTGTTTGCAAGGGACTTTTGTAGCAGGTATTTCAAGGTATTTACATGCCAGATATGCTAAACATTCATATGCCCCTTCATGCTTCGGCCGCCATTCCAGAGGATATGCTTCCACACTGATGATGCCCCTTAAAAAAAATAATGCTTTAATTAAATTTGTGACTGAACTCCTTGGGAGAAGAGCTGTATTGTCTCTGGCTCTATTTTACCTGCATTCTGCCATATATTTCATGTTATAACAGTCTTGAATGATGACTCAGCACATATTGTTCATTTTAAGAACACTTACTGCAGATCTGACAAAACGCAAAGAAGGTACCAATGTGACATTTCTAAAATACCCACAACACTCAAGCCAAGGTTTAGGAATCTGAAGTGCCTTCCAAAATCTGAGAAGGATGAGGTGTGGAGCATGCTTTCAGAAGTCTTGAAAGAGCAACACTCCAAAGTGCAAACTTCAGAACCCGAACCACCAAAAAAAGAAAATCAACCTTCTACTGGTGGCATCTGACTTAAGATGATGAAAATGAACATGCGGTCTGCCTGCACTGCTTTGGATCGTTATCAAGCAGAACCCATCATCAGCATGGACGCATGCCCTCTAGAATGGTGGCTGAAGCATGAAAGGACATATATATCTTTAGTGCATCTGGCATGTAAATATCTTGCGAAGCCAGCTGCACCAGTGCCATGAGAACGCCTGCTCTCACTTTCAGGTGAGATTGTGAACAAGAAGCGGGCAGCATTATTTCCTGCAAATGTAAACAAACTTGTTTGTCTGAGCAATTGGCTGAATAAGAAATACAACTGAGTGGACTTGTAGGCTCTAAAGTTTTACATTGTTTTGTTTTTGAATGCAGTTATTTTTTTTTACATAATTCTACATCTGTAAGTTCAACTTTCATGATGAAGTGAGCACTGTACCCTCTCTATTCTGTACTATAATTGAAATCAATACATTTGAAAATGTAGAAGACATCCAAAAGTATTTAAATAAATGGTATTCTATTTATTTATTTAAAGTGCACGGTTCATTTTTTAAAAAAGCGTGCAATAGCCCTACATAGTATAATAGGATACATAGGGCTTGGCAATCATAAAAGGTGGCAAGGTCCCAGACTACAGAACCTTGCAATATAAAATGAGATACACAACAACAAAGGATCAGGAGGACAGACAATGGGTCATACAATGCTAAGAGAAGCTGAGTAACGGAAGGTTTTGTAGCAGTAGGGATGGTCAGATACCAAAACAAAAACTCTGGGAGGCATGTTGGATTCTTTGATCAGCCAGTATAGAAAATTTGCCTCAAGGAATCCACACACAGTCCATAATACACTTCTGATATCATTTTGATGCAGAACCAGGGGAAAAAAAATCAGTGAACCAGCATATTTTTTTTTGTTTACCAACTCGTGTAGTAAATGTTTGTATTTATAAAAGATGCACATCCAGATAAATCAGCCTCCCAATAGCACCCCTCCAAATACAATTAAACAAGGGTCAGAAAAGTTAAGAACTTGTTCTTATGATCTCTTTTGAGAAAGTTAAGTTAGCTAATCATCAGATGTACCCAGGGATTCTTCAAATTTAAAAACACAAAGTTACTCCCAATTATAGCTTCTTGCAGTCTAAAACTACTTCAAATGGCAAACCATGGACAGTGTCTTTAGGACATGGACTCGCATAGAATTCATTGTAGTATGAAATTCAGCTGTGCATTTATAACAAAGATGTTATTACTTTTTTCAATATACCAATTCCGTAATTAACCTTATGATCCCAAAAGATTAAATCACTGTCTATGTTTAACATTAGTACAGTATTTTTGTAATAGTTACAGACTGGGTATATTTTGTTTGCTAACGTAACAGATGCACTGACTTTATTTAACTGGATTTGAAAAGGAAAGAAACTAAAGTATATTCCTGCCATCTCAGTATTAACTTAAGACACCACAAACTCTTCAAGGCCCTCAAGAGCTGTCAAATGTTTACTTTCTGCTGATGAAGTCTTTGTAAGGCAGTAAGGTCAGTTCACAATACCTTCCAGTTAGGCCCCAAAGGTCCTCTCTTGGTCTTCACCGACTGAAACAATACTGGGTCCTCATCAGCTTTATAGTCCTGAAAAGAGAAAAAGCTAGACAGTCAGAGGAAAAGCTAAGACACCACCAGAGCAAAGCAGCAAAATTACTGAACCAAATGGGGATAGAAGGGACCTCGAAAAGTCATCAAGTCCAGCCCCTGCACTGTGGCAGGACCAAGTAAACCTATCCCATCCCCGACAGGTGTTTGTCAAACCTGTTTTTAAAAACCTTCTAATGACAGGGATTCCACAATCTCCCTTGGAAGTCTATTCCAGAGCTTAACTACCCTGAAAGTTTTTTTGTTTGTTTTTTAATACCTAACCTAAACCTCCTTTCCATCAGAAGGAGGATTAAGCTTATTACTTCTTTTACTACCTTCAGTAGACATGGAGAATTGATCAACGTCTTTTTTTTTTTTTTTTAAAACTGCCCTTACCATATAGTAACTCCTCACTTAACGTCCTAGTTATGTTTTTTAAAAATGCAACTTTAAGCGAAACGATGTTAAGCAAATCCAATTTCCCCATAAGAATTAATGTAAATAGGGGGAGTTAGTTATCCAATAGGCCAGTACCCAGTCAAAGAAGAAAATTAGATTGATTTGGCATAATTTGTTCTTGACAAATCCATGCTAGCTGTTCTTTATAACCCTATTATTCTCTAGTTGTTTTCTGATTTAATAATATAAGCCAGTATCCTTCTGACGTTCAGCTGGCTAGTCTATATTTCCGCAGGTCCTCTTTGTTCCCCTTTTTAAAGGCAGATACTATGTTTGCCCTCCTCCAGTCTTCTGGGACCTCACTTGTCCTTCATTACTTCTCAAAGATAATTGCTAACAGTTGTGAGATTGCATCAGGTAGTTCCTTATGGATCCTAGGATGAATTTAATCAGGCTCCGCTTACTTGAATACATCTTATTTATCTAAATGTTTTTTAACCTGTTCTCTCGCTATTTTGGCTTGCATTCCTTTCCCTTTGTTATTAATATTCATTGTATGGAGTATCTGGTTGCCATTAATATTTTAGTGAAGACTGCAGCAAAATAGGCATTGAACACCTCAGCTTTTTTAATGTCTTCAGTAATTAGCTCTCCTTCTCCGATAAGTAGCAGTCCAACACTTTCCTTTGTCACTCTCTTGCTTTCAATGTATTTAAAGAACCTCTTATTGCCTTTTATGTCCCTTAGAAAGGCTACTGCACAAAATACCTATTGATTTTGTTCCTAAATTCTTGGGCTATTCTATTTACTTCTTAGCAATTTGCTCAGTTATACTTTCTGTATTATTCCTGTTTGATTTTCAGGTCACTAGAGCTCCTGATGAAGCCATATTGGCCTCCTACTATTCTTCCTATCTTTCCTTTGCATCCTTTTGGGGCACTCTGGAACAAGGTTTTTTTTTATTTGTATTTGGTCCCCCCCGCCCCCGAGTTGCTTCTCCATTGCCTGTAGACAAAGACCTTGTTACATGTTTACATAACTAGGATTCAGGAGTCCCTTTCTGGACCAATACCCCATGTATTAAATACTGTACAAAATCAAAGGTAGACACTATCCTTGGTCCACAGAGTTTACAAACTGAATTGACAAAGTATACACATCTATACATGAACTGTTTTGAGTTATACTTACGTAACTATCAAAATTTCCGCAACTCCCCCTCAGGCTAGTAATCACACATTGGCTGATTTTTTACATTACGGCGGAAGTAGGTATACAATATTTGAGAGGGAAGGGGCAGATATCCAGTGCTAGGCATTTACACTACCCTCAGATTGTAAACTACTTTGAACAGTTCACTTTAAGCAAGAGCACAGAACATTTTCCCACCAACTTACACACTAAAATGAAGCGAAACAAGACCAAAGGTGCTAAACGTTTACGGCCTATAATTTACTTTAAGCATTTCTATAGGCCTTATGTTTATAGTATCTGAGCACAATATTGATTAAGAAGTTAGGACCTAGGAGTGAAACCAAAGGGATAGAAGCCATCACCAACAAAATGCCAGACAGTGAGAAAGAAAAAAATAACTCCTGGAACATCTTCAGATGTTCATCAAATTGGTTTTAAGAGGTTTTTGGATAGAATGTCCCATGACCAGAAACAAACTTGACTGTACATTTGAATTTATATGAATTTATATTTAGATGCATTTATAAGAGTTACACATCATTTCATGTAGTCAAAATTCCTTATATCCTATATTTTTTCCATAAATTGTGCCTAATTTAAAGTACCATGTAGGAAATGGCTTGCAGGAAATCGGAGTTCCAAAGCAGATGTGTAGTAACACAGTTGGCATTCTCATGTGTCTAGTGTCTGATGGACAGAGCAATATGCGCAATCAACTTGACAGTAAAAACTTCACAACCAGTGTTTTCTCACTTTTGCACTGGAATGCGTAATCACCACACAGCCCAATATATCGCTGACCCGCTTAAAACTATTAACAACTGGATCCAGGGAAAGTTATTTCACTTCTGACCAACAAGGCTAATATGAAAGATGCTTGGCCTTTGTTGATAAACGAGTATCCACATCATCTGTATTCTGGATGTGATGCCCATATGATGCTGCTTTTCATTGGTTATTAAGACAAGACAACTTTCTCATCATGCGTCAAAAATCAAGAGCATTTTCAAGTTTCTCAAAAACCAAAAAATATATACTAGCAGCCATTTTTCAGCATCATTTAGTATTTTACCTACACTGAGGAAGCCTTGACATACTCAATGGGTATCTATTAAATGTCTAAAAGATCTTCAAATATGCAAGAAGTCTCCTCAATCAGCTGCTGCTGAAGAAGGGATGGCTGGGTGTTACCTCCAAATCAGCACTGACATTCTTGAAGATGGTCTTTTGGATGCAAAACTCTAAATTCATTTTATTGCTCGAAACCATAGCTCAGTCCATTCCAAATATGGAAAATTACAGTTCTACGGTGTCTGGTGCCAAGAATGAGTTCCTGAACATTTATGAGAACACCGAACACGGTTCACTTAAAAATGCTGAAGAAAGATAATAAAATAGTATCATGGAAAAAACAAGAGATCACTCCTGGACATAATCTTGATCTAGGCTTCCAGGGCCAAGACCTTTCTGACAATGAATTCGCTTCAGCTTGTGACCTCAAAGTGGCTGTTACAATTTTTAAAGACTATACAAATGAACAAACAATTCTCATGGAAGTAGCAAGTTATAAAGCAAGAAGTATCCCCTTAAGTTGTAAAACAATGTGGCATGCAAGCTCAGCAGTTGAAGCTAAACAGCTTGCTCATTCAGCATAGTGGAAAGGGTTGCATTTTAACTTTGAAAAAAGAAAAGGAGTACTTGTGGCACCTTCGAGACTAACCAATTTATCTGAGCATAAGCTTTCATGAGCTACAGCTCACTTCATCGGATGCATCCGATGAAGTGAGCTGTAGCTCATGAAAGCTTATGCTCAGATAAATTGGTTAGTCTCGAAGGTGCCACAAGTACTCCTTTTCTTTTTGCGAATACAGACTAACATGGCTGCTACTCTGAAACCATTCTAGCTATGGTGACAAAAATTATTTTAACACTTCCATACACTACTGCATGTATGGAATGAAAACGGTCAGTTTGGGGAGTCATCCAGTCAAAAACCAGAAACAGATTGAAAATCTCTACTGCGGGGACACTGGTCACCAGGTATCACAATTTAAGATTAGAGAAGAAAATGGCAGCTGAAGAGTTGACTCAATATTCACCAGATAAGAGGAAGAAGGAGATTATGAATTTGAAGATGACAAGGATATAGATGAAGCAATGGAAGCAGATTCAGAAAAAGATAATAATGGAAAAGCAAGATGGTTGAAAAGGAAGACTGAGCTACTGATGAATTTGAAGGCAATGACCACAAAGATATAGATGAAGTAAATAATGAAAAGCAAGATGCCTGAGGACTTGGCATGCTGCCTATGTTGCATAAATCCACTAATGACTTCCTACCCTTTATATTTGTTGTTTGATTGTTTTGTTTAATTTTCAGTTCTTTTGTAACTATTCAGTCTTGAACAATATTCACATTTAAATGCTAACTTATCATTGCTAAAATAAGTTTTTTAGTAACTTCATTTAATTTTTATCCTACGTTCAAAACAATTAGATACAAAAGTGGCAGACTATTAAAAAACCCCGAGACAAGAAACAGAGAGACACAGGGGATATAACTATGACAATGTAAATGAAGCTTGGTTTATATCATTTTTTTAAAAGATTGAGGGGATAGGACTGATGCCTAATCAGGATAAGATCTGTGGAGTGAGAAGAGAGAACTATCACAAAGAAGTTACAGGTATTTCCTGAAGCCTGCCTCAGAGGCTGTTGCAGGGAATAATGTTTGCAGAGTGTTTTGAAGATGAAAAGTGAAATTAAACTGTCATCTCTTTTACTGCATCCCTTAAGTGCTATCAATCCCTAGGCAGACACAGCAACTGAATCAAACAAGTCACTTAATACTAAACTTAGAACACCTTCCTTTCCTCCTTCCTGGAAAAAAAGTTTAAGACAACCAGATAAGGGCCAATTGCAGAAAGTACATAGTTTAGAATAGTCCATTTTCTCTGTGGCTAGATCAGGTCCCAGTAGTCAAGAGCATGAGCAATTGTATTTGGCACAAACATATAATATAGCACTCAGGATCTTATAATACAAAACACACAGAGTTGTTTATACAAAGTGATCTTACTAACAGGAACTGCCAGAACAGACTAATACAAGAGCCCACCTAGCCCAGTAACCTGTGTCAGAGTGGCCAGCGCTGGATGCTTCAGGAAATGTTACCAAAAATTGTGGACAATTATGGAATAACTCTAAATAGTAGTCAGTGATTGATTTATCCCATAAGGGTTTATATCACTTCAACAACAAAAAACATCCTGACTAATGTAACTGCAAAGGTGCCATATAAAGTATCTAATCCTTTCTTTCAACCATCAATTCTTAACCTCAGTGATCTCTTTTGGCAGATTTTCAATTTCACTGGATTTACCGTTGATCTTGTATTATAAGAC